TCCCCCCCCAGGGTTGTGGCAGTCCGGGCAGCCCCCAGCAGGTCTCCCCAGCTGGAGCCTTCTCCTCTGGGGCTGCCCCAGCCCAACTCTCTCCTGCTGGGCTCCACCCTTGGATCCTTTTTGTAGCCTGGGTGTCAAGCCCTGGATCCACAGGGAAATGGTGTCCCAGGTTTCTCCCTACCTGGTTCAGGGCCACGTGCATCTGCTCCATGAGGTACACGTAGAGCTCGCTGAGGAAGGCCTGGAGCTGCTCCTGGCTCTCAAACGCTGTGGTCTTCAGGTATTTCTCCCTCACTATCTTCACCACAGCATACTGGGGAGACATGAAACTGTTTTGGGGGTGCAGGGAAGGGGGGACGTGCCTTGCCCACCAGCTCTGTGATGAGACAAGAGGCAGATTTTGTCTCAGGTTCTTAGGGAGAAATCCTGACTTCGAATCCTTAGTTCTGAGGAAGGAATCCAGCCCAGCACCAACAGAAGGAAGCAAAGCCAGCAGGGGTGAAGTCCTTCCCCAGCTCTCCCTGACACACTGGTGCCTGTTTAGGGACAAGGTGTAGGAAGGCTCAGAGATGGGGTCTCTGAGCAGAAGGTGGCCAGCTGAGAGAGAGGGGAACCCCCTTTTCCTGCCAGGGTGGCCCGTGTGTGAGAGCAGCCAGCTTTGCCTTCCTCAGGCTGTGAGCATGGAGCAGCTTTGGAGCCTCCCTTCTGTAGCAGAAGGGTTCTGTTGGTGTGTGACCCAAGCCTGCTCTGTTAGAGAGAAAACCTGCCCACCCCTGATGCCCTCTGCAACACAAGAAGAGATCCTGGAGCAACACTCCCCCCCGAGTTCCCACCCCGAGCAGCAGTTCCTCACAGAGAAAGCAAAAAGCACAAATCCACCCTTTACCTTCAGCTGCTCCTTGAAAGCAAAGTATTTCCCCGAGCTGTTGAGCTCAAAGTTGAGCTGGCGCCTCTGCTCCTCCAGGGTTTGGGGGTCTATGGCTCCCTGCTGGGGCAGCTGCTTCCCAAAAAGCTCATGGTACTCGCTGAGGATGGCGAGAGCAACGCTGGTGATGTGCTTGTGATAATCCTCCACGGCCTAGGGAATGGATAATCCAACTCCACTCGTGCCATCAGCCTTGGAATGGCTTGAATTTCTGAGCCCACGCCTCCCTTCAACTCCACTTGACTCATCTTGGTGAGTCTGTCATCCTGTCCATACCCAAGGGCTCCAAAATGACCCATGTGGGAAGAGCTCCTCCCTCGTTAGATGTTGCTCCTGCTACAGTTTTCAATCAGAACCCACTATTTCAGTCACTCTCTTCTACAGCAGGATCACTGCCTGGAAATAAAACATAGCTCATTTCCTGGGAGCCTTTTCAAGGCAGGGGCCAGGTCTCCAGCAGCCTCTGAGCTCCACCATCGGGGTGCCAGAAGCTCCCCACAGGCTGTGAGGAGATTTCTCCTCGCTTTGGGCACGCCAGACAGCCCAGCACAACCCAGTTTTGGGGGCACTCAGTCAACTGTCAGCTGCTTCCCCCACTGTTGCTGTGAATTTAGCATCAGCCAGGGCCCACCCGAGGACATTCCCCTTGGATGGCTGCTCTGGGCCTGCAGGAGATGAGCCAGTGCTCTCAGAGCAGTTTTTGAGGACCTCACACATGCCCACAAAAGTCCTCAACAATTCTGTGTGACCTCAGAGTGGTCAAGGCTGATTCTGTTCATGTTTGCCTGGGTTTGCTGAAGCAGGTGGGCTAGGATGGGACAAAAAAAAAACCTTGGGACTACCTGGGATAAACATCAGGTTCTGGTAGCTCCTCCTCAGCATCCCATCTCCTTCCAAACACCCCCATGCTGCTGCCTTCCCTACATCTCTCCCCTCCGTGCAGGCTGCCCACAGGAGTGCCACAGCCCAGGAGGCATTTCCCAGGGCATAGTACTGGGCAGATAACACATCCCCAAGTGGGTTTTTTTCTGTGTCTTTCCCCTTCAAACCTCATCTACAAGGCTGAGGAGGAAGATCTGCCTGTGTGAGAGGAACCAGGGCAGGATGAGGTGGCTCTTGCATGTACCTTCTTGGCTCCTGCAGTCTGGGGAGGCAGAGGAGGGCGAGGAGGAATCATCTCCTTGACCCTGTCAAGGAGAGGACAGAAGAGATCAGTTGGATTCACTGCCAGCAATCTTGGCTTGTCTTAGGTGCAGGCAGCCTGGAGGGTGAGGGCTCCAGCCTGACACTGTGTCCCTGAGACACCTCGTGGCCACTCTCCTAGAGAAGCAGATCTTGAACTCACCAAAATGTCTTCAGAGCTTAAGAACACAACCCAGGACACCACACAAAGGTCCCTGTGGTGGCTCCTACCCAATGAGCCAACTGCTTATTCCAAAGATAAATAGAACCACAGAAAGCTTTGGCTTGGAAAGGATGTTTCAAGGTCATCCAGTCCAACCCCCTGCAGGGAGCAGGGACATCCCCAACTAGAGCAGGGTGCTCAGAGCCCCTGGGATGGTTCCAGGGATGGGGCAGCGACCACCTCTCTGGGCAGCCTGGGCCAGGGGCTCACCACCCTCAGTGTCAAACATTTCTTCCTTCTCTCTAGTCTAAATCTCCCTCTTTGAGTTTCAAACCATCCCCCCTTGTCCTGTCCCAACAGGCC